GAACCTGCGAAGAAACCTAAGACTTCGGTAAAATCGAAGGAACCGAAAAATAATAATCAATCTAAAGAAGAAGCTTTTGCTGTAGCTCAAATAAAATCCGCCCAGAAGAATGTTAAGATCAAGAACAAAAAAAAAAATAAAGAATAAAATATTAAATTATTATATTAAGGTGGCTAGTCAGTAATCATAACAATAGTGCAGCGAGGCATATGTCTGTCTCTCTCTCGCATTAGGCAGGCAACCGCTCGCACTATTCGAAATCAATGATTTTACGCACATTTTGTTTAATTACTCATTAGTTAGTTCGATAAGGGGTCATTTTTAACATACTAATCGAAAGGCAGTGACTTGAAGCATAACATACTCATTTTTAGTTAAGACCTGTTGTTTAATAAAAAAGTATGGCGTAAAATGTATGAAATTATGGTGGCTTCCCATAAGAGCCCATGTTAAAATTTCTATTTTCTACAGCTTCGTTCTCAAAAATTGGTTCGATAACCCATGCTGAAAGTTCTACAACATATCAAGGGCACTTTAAATGATATTTCTGCAAATTTTCATGAACATCTGTTGTCGACCCATTTTACTGACTAGCCACCTTAACTAAGCATATTATTTATAATATATCAGTATTTATAATTATTTATAATAAAAAGTTGGTCTGTTGTCGATCATTTAAAGTAATAAAAATACATTTATAATACACAGACGTTAAATAAGAAGAAAAAAGATATCTTATATAATATATATTATATATTATATTAGGGCCGATTCTCTGTGAAGTTGAATGACCAAAATAATTTTTTTTGCAAATATGAAAAACTTTTTGTTTTTGATGTCGGATCTGTCTCAAAACAATTTTAGAAAAATTAGGGCTTTCTATAGCACTTTTTCAGAGGCCCAAAGTTGACCATTTGAGCGTTTTTTTTGAAATTCATGAAAAATCACAAATATTCAAATAATTTCTGGATCAGTGTAGAATGATTCAAAAGTAAAAGTGCCCACGAGCTTTTGTGTTGGAAACTGTCCAAATTTTCCGGAAAAATCATTCCAAAGTGATTGGAGCAACCTGTGGGGTTATTAAACGGAAACTGAAAAAAACTAAAAAACAAGAAATATAATCGAGCTCGAACCAGACTTTTTTTCCAAAACTATGTAAAAAGCTTCCTATAGATGTCAACTATAGCCTGATAAAGTAATGTAATGGGTCTTAAAGTTTAACGCTATGTAGACAACTGTATGTGTCGAAAAACGTGCAAAAAAAAGGTCGAAAATTAGCTGTTTTTGATGATGTTAGGCATTTTGGGCCTATTTTCGACCATTTTTGCACGTTTTTCGACACATATAGTTGTCTACATTGCGTTAAACTTTAAGACCCATTACAAAACTTTATCAGGTAATAGTTGACATCTATACGAAGCTTTTTACATAGTTTTGGAAAAAAAAGTCTCGATAAGATCCATATTGACGAAAATAGAGGCATTTGAAAATAGACAAAATTTTAATGAAAATTGTTGATGCAAAAATTTTGTTGCGGATTGTATTATACAATAATGAAAATCATAATAAATTAGAATTTTATCAATGTTAAATCGTATGAGTTTGAAAAACATATAATGTAAAACTCCAAGAGAAATTTTAATTAAGCATTACATAACAATCATGGAAATATTTTTATATCCTCATTTTGCATACGAACAACTGCGATTTTTTTCATTAAATTTTAAAACACTACTTAACAAATATTTGCATTTTTTATGTATTCTCATATGGTTCTTTGTCTTTTTATTTGCACCACTTGCATTTTTCTTTTACCATTATTTTCATTTCTGCTCTCTTTCAATGAAGGTGATGAAAAAGAGCAAGCGGATGAACGTTTTGACATAATTTAAACAGTAGCAGGCTTGTGAGAAACACAAGAAGTATTGTTACTTTGGCTCGCTCTTTTGCGCAAAGCTGTATACGTATGTAAAAAAAAAAACTTTTGCAAAAGTTAAAAAACCGTTTGGTACTAGTGCTCATCACGAAACTTTTCACTCTCATGTGTTACTGCGACAAACGGAAAAGACTACCAAGGAGACAGTATATGACTCTATTCTTCGTAGCTGCCAACGAGTATTTTTTAGCTTCACTTTTCACGTCAAATTCCTTACTCTAAGCAGTAAACGTTAAAATGAATCAAGCTCTATTTTCTGCAAGCTGAGATGAATCTTGCACTTATTTTTTTACTCTTTCTGGAAAGTAAACTACAATTATAATCAAGAATTTCTACGCATATACATGAATAATAAACTCAAATATTCTAAAAAACTTCGGAAAAACAAACTTAATAAAAACATTTACAAGCCGTGAACCTGAGATTAATAGTTTTAGCATGTCTTGAATTCAGAAAACATTTTTTTAAGTTCTAAAACATCGAAAGGAAACAATCAACATATGTTATAGAAGAGTTGATTTTTGACCCTAAATGGGTGTACTGCTCCGATCAATTAAAAAATTTTTTCATTTGTCTTTATTTTCTGTGCTGTGTGCAATGTAAAGAGGACATATAACAATTAAATTTAGCTTTTACATTACTATTTTTTAATGTTTGTCCATTTTATGGTTTATCGATAATACATGGTTTTTTAAATTTAAAATATATGAAGGCCTCAGAATCACTTTACAAAATATGATGATGAAAAATCTTGAGAATAATAGTACAATTGATCAATAAATACAGTTGAATTATTAACTTATTCCTATGATTAAAATTTTTATAATTAGAAAAGGTGCGTGGAAAGTGTTAATTAACCCATCAACGATGAAAAGCTTGATTTATTTGTTGGTTTTCGGAGCGATTTGTTTCGTAGTTTTAGGCCTCAAAAACATTGTGCATGCACTTGCTTTGACGTAAAATTTAATGCTCATTCAGAGACTGAGCTCAAAATTGTTGGTTTATTGCATAATAAAAAATTAATAGTCATTTAAAAAAAAGAACGTAAATTTTTTTACAAAAACTAAAGTTTACGATTTTTTAGTCATGTTTGGGACATTAAGAACCTTCAAACAAAATGTCGGCGAAATAAAAAAAAGTCCATAAAACAACAAAGTCTTAGAATTGTTTAAGGAACATGCCTGAATTTTTTTAGAATTTTTCGAGACAATTTTTCATTTTTTGGAAAATATGGGAAGTCTAATTTCTCAAAATCACTTCCAAACGTTTTGAAAAAATTCAGGAGTGTTCCTTGTTCAATTTTAAAACTTTTTGTTCGATAAACTATTTTCTTAAATCAATAGTTATCAAAATGAGCTCAAGTTTTTGCTCGAACTGACTTCGCAATCCTAGAAAACGCCTCTATTCCAATGTATTAACGATCGGAAGATAATTAAACACAGTATCAATAAACGATTGTAAGTTATTGATAAATACATTTTCTGACGTAGCATGGTTAGTCTATTATTAATATTCATATTCTTCCCTGCATTGGAGATGTAACATGTGTTATATTTAGTGGCATTTTTATGTGGATACAGACGATACCACTTTTCAAGAAAATTTATTCTACCTTTAAATTAATGAATTATGATCGTTATTATATATATTACGCAGTGAAGCTAATAAAAGTGCTTGAATTCCCAAAATTTCTGTTTTCGATTTCTAAAAAAAAAAACTTCAATAGTACTCTAACAGTACTATAAAATGTTGTACGATACTTGTGCCATAGGAAAACTTTTCGGCCCAGCTATTATAAACTACACCATGCCAACAAGTGTTACTTATGGCACTTGTATCGTAAAGTACTATTTTTATATGCACATTCAATTTAATATCTAATGAGAACTTTTGTTGTTTAGTACATCAGCTCTTTGCATCAGTGTTTTACATGGTCATTTTTTGGTTAACAAAGCCAAAAACTTTCATAAAATTAAATTACAATTGTGCCTTCTTTTGTCGTTACCAATAATCAATCACGAGAAGACGAATCCAACTTTCAATAGAAACTTATCTTTGATCTTTTCAGAAAATTGAACTTCTATTATGAAAGATGCTCTCTATTTATCAGAAAAATATTTGACATCAATTATACTTTAATCATACGGAAATTGACAATAACACAACATCAAATTCATTTGTAAAGCGGTTCACCATCTAAAATCTTTAATTTCAATTGATGATACAAAATAACGGCTAATTCACCTTACCTACCAACTAGAACTTCTCGGACACGTTACCATGTACAGTTTTTGTTATCAATTGAGTGAATCTGAAGGTAAAAAAGGTTATGGTAATAATCGCACTTCAGCAAGCTTAATCGACTATTTACTGGCTGATTCACTGCATTAATCTGGATTATCAATCAAATGGTCAAAAAACGTTTCATTAATACTATCAGAGATAGAATTTCTACTTGAGAATGATTAAAATTAATTTCTGATCTTGAATCTAATAGTATTGTTTACAATTGATTTTATGCGTTTGTTAATTTTTATAATCAATGATTATTACTCATATTAACATACATAGACAATTTGAATAAAGAAAACTTGATTGAATTTATTTTATTTATTACATATGTATTTTCACTATAATAATTATTTAAGTTTATCAAGAAAATATTTTACACGAATCTTAATTATAATTCACAAAGTACTTGATATTTACAGTTCATCATACAGAAATTTCATTTCTTTCCGCGTGTATTATGAAATCAATGTTTACATGTAAAGATAATATCAACAATAATACTTTTTGGATAAATTTAAACATATCATTTTTATTCATACAAAATCAAACGGAATAGTTTCTTTATTGAATGTACAATCAGAACATTTTAGTAAAATCTTTAATCCTATTTTTAAGATTTTAAAAATCAAGACAATTTTTTTCAATGATTAACCTTTGATGTGAAACCTTTTTAAATTAACAATACAATATCGATTAATTCAAATTCATGAAGTAACAGTTGAATAAGAGATAAGTGCTCAAGAATTTAAAGTCTTCTTGTACCATAATATCTTCAGTATTTTATGAAAAGTATCTTCACGATCCGTTGGTAACATATCAAGAAGACACTTATAAAAGTTACGTATAGATTTTGGTCTAGTCTTAAGGCAGTATTCCATTGATCGTGATGCACAGCTGCTTGCTTTTCTCCTGAGAACGAAATGAAGCAGTTACTGACATTTGATAAAAAACAATTTTTTAAATTTTGTGTTAAGCTTGCCAAATGCGCTAAAAATGTATCAAACATACTTTTCACTTGTGCTTTTATGTACATAAATAAAGGTTTACAAGAATGCATATGCATACAAAAAAGTTGAAAAAAGAGTCTCAAGGGACTTGAACTGTGAATTTCAGGGTAAGGCTATCTTGGGAGCGAATATTTTACTTATTCCTTGTATATTGAGCTTGAAAAATTGTCTAAATTGAATCATAGAACGAAGTAAAAATTTTAGTCACGTTGAACGAGCACGTGTTTAAAAATTTTTTTCTTCATGAATTGAAATTTATTGAATTTTTACTTTATGATCTATTAAAAGCAGTTACACTTTCAGTACATGAACTAATGTACAATATAATGCTTGATGAATTAAAGCTGCGGAAGGCACTGACATAGACATCCTTTTAATTTAACATGTGCACGAGTGAGAGAGAAAACTAGTAAATTTTCAATGAACTACTCAGAACTGCATACAAGTACTTGTAGAAACTGCTAGCACTAATGAAGAGTTCTCTAATGCACCAACTACTCCAATCTTCGGTAAGAATTCTAGTACTCTTCATTTATATCCAAAAAATTTGTATTGAACGTTTTTGAGTTTTCATATTAATGTAATTTTTAAATTTGAGTATTATTCCATAAACTTTTTTGTTATCGAGTTAAAAATTGAAAATTTTCAAAGAAACGGAAATAAGCTTCTTATAACATAGCGGAAGCATCTGAAAAAATTAACTTTGCCTTTGATCGTAAAATTCTCTAATTTCCGGTGGTTGAGAGGTTATCAGATAACCGTTATCTAAAAGAATAATAAATGTTGCTCTTTAAAAATGATTGCTTTTTTACCAATAATAATTTTTAAGATTTTCAATTTTTCGTTACACAATCAAAAAATTTTTTGTTAATTTATTTCAAAGTATATTTCATTATTATAATTTATTACAGCATAAAATCAGTCAGCTCATGAATTGTCAGTAGTAAATAGTTCATTTTTTAAGAAATAACAATAAATAAATTAAGTTTGAATTTTCATGTCCACTATAATTGTTACTTGAACTATACATAAAAAAAACTAGAAAAAACCATAACCACATAGAAAACCTTGATAATTTTCAAGTACCGTATTTACATTTATCACGCCCTCAAGTAATTGGTAATTTAAAAGGAACATAAAAATTTTACCACATAATTTCAATATTTAATTTTGCTTGTAGAGTTGTCAATAGCGATTAATTCGTTTTTCTCAAGGAATTTCAGAAATCCTGCTTTAATGTTGTTGTATATATTTTATTTAAACTTGAATCGAAAACTTGGAATAAGGATTACTAATGTACCCTTGATTATAAATCATTAAGAAACTATTTGCTCAAAATTCTTATGTTTTATCAAAAAAATACGAAGATTAAGTACCATTCAACACGTGGATGTTTACTACTGTCGTGCTGAATTGGCCAATACTGCAAGAAAATTCACCACTGTCACTTTTTTTCGCATATTCTATACGTAAACTCAATAGTAATTTATTTGCAGGTCTGAAAAAGAAAAAAATTGTTGTGAGCTGATGGCTATCTAAATTCGTAAAATCTTACATGTAATAAAGTGAACTAGAAAAAAATTTACAAGATATTAATTTTTGTTCCTAAGAAGAAAGCTGTGAAAGAAAAAAAGTATGTATTTCTTTTCGTTTCAACTAAATGAAAAGAGCAGAAAAAAAGCAGAAAAGTAAGAATTTCTAGATTTATGTGGTACTGCATTATATACGTCTGGACAGTGTTTTTTTTATTTCGTACCCATTGGTATGATAAACGTTGACATCGTCCGGCAGTGTTTCACCATTTTTTTTCCACACTGGATCAGGCATTTTCGAGCCAGGTCGAGAAGGTCTTACCACACAAGTTAGCTCAATGACGCTTCCGCTGTTATAGTATCGATCATGAAGCTCGTGATCTGATTCATCGACTATTCTTACATCTGGTGCTGATGATTTCCATTAAAAGTGAACAGCATGTAATATAAAATTTATCACTTTTTATTTTTTCTAAATTTATTTTCAAAACGATCGAAGATTTATGAAAAGTTTGATTCATAATTTAAATGAAAAAAAGAAATATTTGTAGGAAATTTAAATGTGTATGTATTCTTTGTAACACGTATTAAAATTTAATTGTAGACTTTTTTTGCAAGAAAATAAGTTTAGATTGTCAGATCCTTATGGTACACACTAGAGTTGAGATTCATTATTAAAAAGTTGTTCATAATTATTCAAATAAATACAATTTACAGATGTATATTGTTAATATGAATCGAAAAATTTTCAAGCTTCAAATAAAACTACCATGGCTAACATTTTATGGTATGGTATCTATACAGTTAAACGTTGCAAACTATTTGTTAATAAAACTTAAAATATGCAACATTATGAAAAATACATTTTTTTATTTTTCTACATGTGAATTAAAATGTATTTAAGTTATAACGGTTGAAACACATTGTGCTTCCTATAGTGAATTGTTCCATTTTTTTTAAATTATACTTCAACTATAATGCAAATATTAGCATAAGTTAATGAAATATTGATACATTTTCATTATAGTACCGAGTAACTACGTCAGTAAAATTTAAAATCGAACTCAAATCTTTTAACGAAGAATCAATTGCTATTTCAATTTCTAAAGCTAATATTTGAATCTCTTGAATGAATTTTTATGCAAAATGTGTAATCAATATTCTTACCATTTGATTACGTAGATAAAAAAGAATTAATGAAATAAAATGTAATTTTCAAAGAATTACCTAAATCAATAATGTAGGTCTTTATTACAAAATAACCTAAATAGAATTAAAAAATATTAAAACTACAGTTAAAAAATCAATAAAATCGAAAATAACTGAACTATAAGAAAAGTTAAAAGTATTTCATTATTTTTCAAACGAAATTATTGAAGAATAACGTCAAATTCAATGCAAGAATGCATGTTAATGTTTTTTCTAAAAAATACGTATTTCATACAACTACTCGTGCTGTAAGGGCAGCTTTTTGATTCATCGGACACATTACGAAAGATTGCAAAACCGTACACGTCAAACATGTCAGCTGCTGCAGTCAAGCTCGAAGAGTGATATGGGCTTTTTGTCAGCGCGTAGCTGTATATTTTCGGTCTCGTCAATGAGAATTTTCATCTCTTTCGTTCAACGATTCTTTCAACCTTTGCAAAAAAGCTTACTTGTGATTCGTATCATATGTTATTTTGAAATTTCAAATATATATAATAAAGTAAAAATATTTTATTCCCTCATATTTATTTCATAGTAAAATAGGTTGAATTAAAAACACATAAAATTATGTCGGTTAAAATTACGAAAAATAAGGATAAGAGTTTGAACAAGATTTCAATCATATAATTAATGATTTTTAATAAAAGTTTAATTATTTTAAAATGAAATCATAAGTTAAGAGTAAATATTTAACGTTTAGTATATTTCTGTAGATTTAAATCAATAAACGATTAGTTTTTTCTCTCATAAATTCTCATCAGTGTAGAAGGCTTAGAACAAAGACTTCAAAGAAAATAACTTCTTAATTCTTCACGTACTTTGTCTTACTTGGTACCATATAAAATTCATGTGTAATATACTTATTCGTTTCAAAAAAAAATAACGGTCTTTCGTCGTTCCACCGAGTAACGAAAATAGCAATCCATATCTAAAGTTATGATCATGAATAATTATGAGACAATTTGAAGAGACAAGAGTTTTTTCTTAAAATCGATGATTTTTGATGAAGTGATAAAAACTTGGAGTCTATGTCTTACTAATTAATTATTCCGTTTCTTTTTGTTTTAGTAATATCCACTTTATCAACCTTTCCCAATGTTTGTTTTCTTTTCTGTGTTGGTGAAAAGTCAATGAATCGACTAGTTTTAACAAGAACCTCTCAAATAAACTTGAAAAAAAATCTTGAAAAGTCTTTTTAGCAGAAATCTAGGTTAGCATACAATTCATCTCGATTCATTTTACGCTCCGATTTTCGAACGATTAGCCAGAGTAAAAAATTAACTTAAAAAAAACTTATTTTAAATAATTTTAATACTAAAACCGAGAATATCAGAGTTAAAATTACTTTCTGGATTTTAGTTGACTTTGTCAGTGCACAGGTATTTTATAAAAATGCGCCCAATTTACCTAGAATAGTAACGTTGGTCACAAGCATACGAGGTGGATGCGTGTTCACTTGGCAAACGTACAAGCCCCGGTCCTCCTTTTGAATGGATGTAATCATGAGACGCCAGTTGTTTGGATACTTGAAACTTACTGAGTAACGATCATCGGCGATGTGCGTGTTTTTCCCAACAGTCAACAATGCCTTGTCGGGATATTGTCGGATCCACATGACCTGCACGTTATTTATTTTAATTAAAATTGCATTAAAGTTACTTTCTATGAACAAATGAAAATTCTAAATTCTCTTAGATCTGATATCTTATTAATTTATAGTGAACAATACTAAATCTGTGCTTGGGATGAAAAATTGAATTTTATTGGGACCAATTAGACTATAGTTGTCACAGATATTGTTTTGTTACGAACTCCCTAATTGAACAAAAAAAACTTAAAATTTTGCAATTAAAATTTCAAATCTTAAACCTCAGTTAAACTTGCAAAATAATAAATTGAAAAAGTCAAATAAGTGTAAATTCATTGAAGGAGAATAATTTATCTTAGTCTCCTGGTTCAAAGTATATATTTTACTTGAGAAATAGGCATAAAAAGTGTCCTTTGCTCTTTTTTTATGCATTTGAAATAAACGTATTAGCCTGACCCCGTGACAGTTTCAGAGTAAGTAAGGATTTGATTCCAATTTTGTGACTGTTAGTTAACAAAAAACAATCGTGAATGTTGAAATAATAACGTCGGTTCTTTAGATACAATTATTTAAGTAAAATTATTTAATTGTTATTAATCGTTAAGGAAATATCAAAGTCAGAATAAAAATGAACATTTTACTTAACGTTTTATGGATTTCCTTTAAAACATTTTATTATAGAAGCTGCGTGGGTGCTCTTTTTTGTTTATTTTGTTTTGTTAGATATTCAGGTAGTTTTTATGGCAATATTTAATGGAGTTTTCAGAAAACGTGCTCACACTTTTTCCTTTTATTCGGCTTTCGGTATCTTCTTAAGATATTTATTGCAAAGCTTGATGGATTTGTAAAGCGTTGCATAAATCGAAAAAAGAGTTATATACGAGTATATTTTTTTTAATACTCTCAACACGAACTATATAATAATTTGCAGATTGAAAAATGTGACCAAAAAATTCCAAAATACCATGCATTGACTTTCCTTAATAAAAAAAAGTTTACCATTTTGCCCGATAACATGACAACGCGACAGTCGAGAAAAGCTGTATCGCCGAGATGCACAACCTTCTCTGAGCCATTGATCTCCTGACCCTCAACGTTTTCGAAATAAGGGCCCCGATGCGATACATGATGGTGCCTCAAGTGTGGAACTTTTAATGGTCCCCCCATGTGCTTATGATGTTGCTGCTTATGGTAATAATTGTTATGATGGTGATGATGATAGTAGTTGTGTGATGGCAGGGGCACTTCCATGGTTTCCACTACAAATTCCTCTGTAAAAGAGAATGATAAAATTTCATTCTTATCGCATTGAGACATAGTAATGGTATAAATAAGTAAATGTGTACATATATATTTACACGCATATATTTTGGGCGAAAAGCGAGACATAGACTTTGAGCTTAACCCAGTTTTCGGACTCTTTGTTACAAGCCAAAGAGCGTGCCACAGAAACATAGTAATGTGTATAGCAACTGCGTAGAATACGAATTTTTAAGCAGGCTATGTAGGTACGAGAATGAAACTGTAAAAAGTATTATACATATACCATAGTGGTTGGACGTATAAATATTCACGTAACTAAATTTCAAGGTGTTTTAAATTGTTATTAATACGAAGAAAAAAAGAATTGTTTAAAAAGATCGAGTACTCTTAGAACTTGAAAAAGTTCCTAATGATCGACATAAGTTTGGCTTAAGATATATAAGCAGAGCACGACTTTCTATCTGGTATGCAAGTTAAACTGGAAAATGGAGAGATAATTTTTTTCCTTTAAGGCTTTCTTTTTAATGCGCACGTGAACGTAACATCTATCTGAACTCGACATTTTTCAAGAGTTATTTTATGCAGACAAATGCAGAACTCAAGTTTGTTTTGAAAAAATTAAAATATAAGAGATAAAAAAGCACTTTTTCCCCAATTGTAAAACTCGATTGCTCCTCATCAAGTTTCTTGATTAAAAAGAAAATCAATAATTCTATCATTGCGACGATGAGGACTTTTTTCATTTTAAAAAGCAACAAACTTGATCAGCATTCATTTCAATATTTCAACAAGAAGTCCATTTTGTATGTAAAAGCAATTTATTCGAATTTAAAAGTGAAAGAATAAAAAAAAATTGAAATGAAAATTAAAGCGAAGGAAAGCTATCAATAGCTTTCATTTTAAAAGTTACAAACGCGGAACAAAGAAAACGACCTGTCCTGTACCTGCAATTCTCTATTTCGACACTTACTCGACCGTGTGTGCACGTATTTACTTGTGTCTGTATCAGCTGTCGTTACTCGATGTCAATAGTGTTAACACTGGTACGCAGAAGACTCATTGGTTTTATGCCTCGAATCGAATAACATTACACGAACAGGAAAACACTTGTGCACCTACGCTTATCGAGCTAGAAGCTGTACGCATCGGGCAAGAAAGACCGAATTGGTTTTTTTTTAAACTTTTTCGCATTAACCGGCTATCGTGACGTCGATAGAATAATACAAATAGATCAGATAAAATTCTAGTGTGTTCAATTTCCGAGCTCAGCTATTTGCAATAAATTTCGGTAGCGTGTAGATACTGCAATTGGATTCTGAACATCGAAGAGGAACTTGTCATTTATTCTTTCTGAAGAAATAGAATAGAAGAAGTAATTAACACGTACTTTAATCATGCCAACCCTTTTATCGTGATTAGGAGGAGCAGTTTAAACGATCAAATTTAAAAAATAAAAATATGTACGTTCATTCATAGATTAGCAAAATTTGTAAACGGCGATGTTAATCAGATTAATCGCTGTAGTTTGAATAATTGTTTTTAAAGTTGCAACAAGTGGAAAAATTTGAGATTGATAAGAAACGCAAAAGGAGCAAATTTTCACACAGTCTCAATAAGAAATATCATACATTTTAGGTTCTGAAAAAGTAGTATAAAGGAAAAGAAGCATTCTCCAAAAATATCGAATAACTTTTTTTTATAATTGAGATTGAGATAACCTTATAAGTTTTACCCAAATGTTAAAGATGAGAAATGTAATTTGTGATTTTCCATACTGATCCCATTTTGTTTTCAAGTGGTCATCAAGAGTCAAGCAAACCGTTTTAACATTGAATTATGAGAACTTAAATAACATATAAAAGAAATTTTTTTCAAGTATATGGAATTTCTTTGAGCTATTGTACTAGAGTACACATATTAGATTAATAATAAAAAAAATTTTATTTTTGAGCTTAAAGCTACAAATTTGTAAATTTACCAGTATCATTATCTGAGCAAAGTTTTAAATTGGTAAAGTTTTGGAGTTCACCTGTATTCCTTTTCAAAGATCCTCTAATCAACAGAGCATTGTCATCTTGTCATCATTATATAAAATTTTAGTTTGGAATAAATGCTGATCAATTATTATCATCATTTGTAGAATCTGTAACTTGGAATCTAAAATTCAAATGAGCAAGTGAAACAGGTCTTTGCACGTTTCTTAGATTTTGAAATTGAAATTCTAGATTTTGTGAAAGATGCTCGGCCAACATGCTAGAATCGTTATAAAAGTATGCTTAAACGATGTTTCGCCTTGGTTAAAGTACTAACTATTGAGAACTTTATGCTCTTTTTCAATGCGTAGTTATTATGAGACTAATTTCACATTATGTCAGCTATAAAATTTTTGAAAGTAAAGTAAAGCAAAATTGAAGGGAAAGAATATTTGATGATAGATTGTCATGCAATTGACTGTTTATATTTTTTGACTTAAAAAGTAATATCATACCATTACCGCATATTTTTAAAATTGATCTAAAATGAATAGACCATAACTTATATCTCTAAATACCGATAATAAAATAATTATCCAGTAAAGTACTGATATCAGAAGTAAATCGTCAATGACGCAATAAAAAAATATTCAATATCTTTCCATAAAAATACTAGAATCCATTTGAAATAAAAGGGGGCTTACATTTTTCAACGACATTTCATGTAAGTATTGGAATTTATGATAATTTTTCAAAGAATCATGAAATTTTTGAATGAAACTTATTCTGAGAAAATAAAAATGCCTTCAACGCAATATAATTTTGATGCTATCTCAGTATTTCTATACTTGAGTTACAAATGACTTGATCGATAAAGATTAAGTTGCGAGTTTTACTCATTATGTAGAGCCAGAAAGACATGAGAGAATATAATAACTCAGTAGAACGATAAGTTTATGCGATGACGTTGCATTTAGCTCTAGCTATCGCCGTAGCTAGAAAGAAAAGCGTCGTCGAAGGCTTGATATAAGAAGAAAAGATCAAGCTAGAAGCTTCATAAATTATGCATGGGAAAACCTTATTGTGTATTGTGGGCATCGTTTAAGAAATGGTAGGAAGGGAAGTTGTACTTTCTTTGTGGAAGAAAAAAATGAGGTTGCACCGTGAGAAAACGACTTTACTTGTCGCAAACTTATTTCATATACAATATACACACAACCTTGAAATCTAAATAAAAGTAATCCATATACTGTAGTTACTTTATTGCGCGTATACATAAATAAATGACCACCCCGATGATGTAATGCAACGAGAGGTCCCTTGCTTAAGACGAAAGTCTGCTTGAATTACAACCTTTTTTTTATTCGATAGAGAACCTTGAAAATATTTAACTTTTTAAAACTTCTCTCTCAGATAAATGTTTTTTTTTTTTTTAATTTTGTTGAATGTATTATGGTTTCGAGGGATGAAATTATATTATAAATATGTAAAATTTGCTCGAGAGGCAAAGCAGTAGTAAATTCATAAGTGTTTCCTCAGGTACATATCGCTCGATGACTCGAACATTTTTTTCTATCCAGTTTTCGCCAAATCTAGAATAGTGATACAGCACTTAAAGCCCGGCAAAAAAACTTTCTACAAAAGTAGTTATGCCGCACTCTGTTGGTCCTCATGTAGCGAGTGAAAATGTCGAGTTTCTTTTCGCTACGGTGTTTCTGTTGCAGCCACGATGCAATTACGATCTTACGGAGAAACTCGACTCTTTTTGTGAATACAGCCCATAACGACTCGCAGGACTTTTTATTCGTAGGCTATTTTGTACTAGCTGCGACATGGTTGTGGCATCAAGAAGTCTGAAAGCCATCAACGTACTTATGTCGTGCACATTTTTTACCTATAAAGCAGCTTTGCGAAATTATCGGAAATTTCTGATATATTTTCTCGTTTATTAACAGTAATCTAATTGCACATAATCTAGTAACGCTATAGATTGGTGCATTTGTGTGGTTGAATCAATAAGCGAATGTAAATTTAGTATGAGTCCGAAAATGAATTTAGAGTTGGTCATCTAATAGCATTAAATATTTTACTATTCACTGTCGGCAGAGAGAAATCAATACGCTTATTAAATTTTCACGTCGAATAGATATTTAGTTTTCCATTTAATAAACTCTCCTGAAGTTACTAAACAATTTTAATTAATACCTGCGAATATTAAATCAATTTTTCGTCCGTTTCAATAGTTACCTTTTTTCTGTCTACCTAATATATAAAAACTAAATACTTTTTGGAATTTTAACATCAAATATCGATTTCAGTGGTTCACACTAAAAAAAACTGAATCATCGGGAATTTTTACTCTTTGCTATTGGTTGCAGACTTTCTATGATGTATTGCCTGGCAGAAACAGCAGCAGCATGTCATATTGTCAGCGCTCGTTGCGCAGTGTTGATGATGTGTACTTTATCCCAGTGATGAGAGTGCCCGGTCTCCGGTATATATGAGGAATAATATTGGTACGTATACGGAGTGAGTGTGTGGCAACCGAAGACAGTAATTACAGGATAAAACTAGAATATTATTTGTAATTTATTTTCTGTTATAATGCTTTTCTATGCTTTTTTGGATACCTTTAGTTGCGAGTGTATTACAACGGTATTTTTTATACTCGATTTATATTTGAAATACTAATAAATGAGATAATATGCGCATGAAGTTGCAACTGTTTTCGATAGTATAAAAATCGTTAATCGAATTAATTTTAAAGTTTTTTATTGTAAAATTATTTTCATACTTTTTGATTAAAATTGAAAATGCTTTATATCCTGTATCAGCAATTTCATTGCGAGAATTGGAAATTGTCACATCAATGGTATGATGTAGAAAGCATGCAAAATAGAAACGATCGATCTCAAATTCAAAAAAAAAAAATTTATTTTCGCAGAAAATCGAAACGCAGTCAACAACAATAACAACAACGTCACACCTGTATATATTTTTCTCTCCAACGCATGAGAAATCACACAGACGGTGGA